CAGGCTCATTTCAGGAAACTGATATGATAATATTTCACCTTTCATTTAGGAAAAATATGACCAGATAGAGGTTTACAAAATAATGAGGGCCAAAGATAAAATGAATAGCTAAGGTCTTTTCCCTAGGGTAGAGGGAGTCCAAAACTAGAGGACATAGGTTTAAGGTGAGAGGGAAAAAAATATGAAAAGGACCGAAGGGGTAACTTTTTCACACAGAATGGGATGTGCATTTTGGAAGGAGCTGCCAGACAAGGTGGTAGATAAATGTCTGTTGGCTTCATCAGTAACACAAAACCAACACCTAGATTCTTATGTTATGAGAGCTAACATAAATTCCCTGTTCCATGCAAACTTAAACCAATACCAGCATCAACTCCAATTTCCTCCTTATACCTTATTTCTTGATTCATTCAACTCCAAAATTTATCATTCTCATTCTTGAATAAATGCATCAGCTGAGATTCCTCAAATCTAAGCTGTTCCAAATGGGTGAGCCCTTATCTTGAGACTGACACTCATAGTACTTGGCTCTCCATCCTTGGAAACTAGCCTCTCAACATTCATGCAAGCCTGCAAAGAATGTTATATGTTTCAATAAGATCAATACTAATTCTTCTAGACTTGTAAGAATATAGGTCAATCCTAATCATTCTCCCCAGGTAGAGCTCTGTCATCCCAGATTCAAGCTAATGCAGGGGATAACATTTAAAAGTTTGCAGTTTGTCACCAAAGAAAAATTTGAGGCAGAGACTAAAAATGGTAGTTATATTTAAAGTGGTACGTTGGATATTTTGAACGAGTGTTTGCCCTGCTGCTGGAGGTTTGCAAAGAAGGGTAAACTAACTTGTCCAGAATCACATTAGTGTGCAAGCTACCAACAAGGCAAAGATGTCATCTAATTCCTTGACACTTTGTTTGTATTTAATTTCCATCTTTGCTTATCTGAATTGTTTATGTAAATCTGAGAAGAATAAAATAAATTAATCTGTATCACCCCAGCGGTTTTGGGTTTTGTGTCTCATAGTCACTAAAGGGTTATGATGTGTTTTGCTTTAAGACTTATTCATGTGACTGACAAAGTGATTTAGAATATTTAATCTATTTTAATTGAAAAATTCAGGTGAAAGTGTGAAGTGCGGACCCTGTAAATGCATAAAACATAAAAGAACAATAAATCAGTGGAGTAATGATTCAATGACACATAACAAGGATCTAAAAGTGGAACAGGAAAAATCTCCACTCAGCATCTTCAGTGATAGAGGAGCCCAACATAATAATGCAAAAGACAAGTCTGAGGCATTCACCAGCACCTTCATCACAAATGCTAAGTGGATGATTCATCTTAGTCTTGTCTAAGTGATACCATACCTTAAAGACCACCAGTCTTTCAAAATTTGTACTCTTTGCACTTTTAGCCAAGTTTTTTTTAGTTGAGTTACAGCACTGGCACTTACCTGTTAAGAATCAATCAGGATACGGAGTGTTGGATTTTACAAGGTGCTGTGGTACCTATACCCCCAGCTAAAGAGTGAATTTCACCTCACACACTGTTTCCACCAGCACCGCTGCAATATAATGCTGACAGCAGCATTACTTAGTAAAACTTGAGGCTTCTGCTACTATCTTGGGAGGACATCTTTCCTTAGATTGCTGCCACCTAATTGGATCGTCAGCAGCTCAATATTGCCAGTTGTGCCAGGTTTTAAAATGTGGTTATTTTTGGGACTATGGGCAACCCTGAGGAAGAGACAGCCTTGGAGTTGGGACTCTGAAGTAAGTCCCGGGTAGTAACAGGGCAAGGCTGGCTGGTCCTAATGAGAATGAGGCTGAAGATCATGAAGGGTGAGATGTGAGATGTCAGATAGCAAGGTAAGGAGGAAGGGATAACCTTGGGAAACATATCCCTAAAATTACAAGGGTGTCCTGTAAATAGTACTCAATGCCAGTCTGAGCTGCTAAAGTGCTACCCACTTAGCACAGATTCTTCTCCTCCTTCTACTGCAGGCCCACGGCTAAAGGGGGATTGTAATGTTGAATTTTTAATTGTATTTCTTTATTTTTCCACTCTATACGAAGAAGGTAATGTTGAACTTCTAACTTATTTCTTTATTTTTCTACTTTGCACCTAAGATTTTGTAGCTGGGTACCTTTGTACCTAAGATGGCACAGGCAATGGCGACTTTATTCACTTTTCACTGTACTCCCATACCTCTGTCTTTGAGTACACATGACAATAAAACCTAATTTTAATTCTAATTCTAATCCCCCCACCAGTATGGGTAAAATAGTCATGGGAGTGTGATAAGGTCCATCAGTGGACATGAATTGTTGCCAACTGCTCAATACCTGCACCACCACTCCATCAAATTAGTCCAGGTAGGTAGATGGAAGGCATGCATTTTATGAAGCCCCGCACTTGTAACAATTTGGAAGCAACTTTTTTTGGATTTAAATTAGTAATTTTGTCTTTACATTTCTTTTTTTAGTCACAGGAGAGGTCCCAGAGGACTGAAGAATAGCCAACAATATTCCTTTGTGTAAGAAAGAAATCAGGGATAATTCAGAAATTACGGACTGATAAGCCTTATGTCAGTGATAGGAAAATTTATTGCAGAAAACTCCTAAGCATGGAATTTACTCATATTTGGAAAAATATAGACTTATTAGCAATAGGCAGCATGGCTTTGTGTGGGAAGATTGTGTCATGTCTGGTGAATAAAGGGTAAGTAACGCAGGATCCCCAGTGAGCTGGTAAGATGGATACTGAACTGGCTTAGTCACAGAAGACAGCATGTAGCAGTGGAAGGGTACTTTTCGGACTGGAGATCTGTGACCAGTGGTGTTCCGCAGGGATCAGTGCTGGTACCTCTGTTGTTCATAATATATATAAATTATGTGCAGGAGAATGTGGGTGGCCTGATTAGTAAGTTTGTTGATGGGACAAAGATTAAGTGAGCTGCATATAGTGAGGGGGTTTGCCAGAGGATACAGTAGGGTATAGATAGGCTGGAGACTTGGACAGAGAAATAACAGATGTAGTTTAATCTGGACAAATGCAAGATGATGCATTTTGGAAGATCTAATGCAGGAGGGAAGTATACAGTAAATGGCAGAATCTTAGTAGTGTTAACATACAGATGGATCTAGGTGTACAAGTCCATGGCTTCCTGAAAGTGACAACACAAGTGGATAGGATGGTCAAGAGACTTATAGCGTGCTTGTATTGCCTTCACTGGTTGGGGCATGGAGTATAAAAGCATAAAAATTGGCAAGTCATGTTGCAGCTGTATGGAGCTTTAGTTAGGCCACATCTGGAATATGATTTGAAACTTGCATATTAATAAGCAGAGATTTGCTTATGAGGATGGTAACAAGCACTAATTGCAGTTAATAGGCCTCTCACCACTCCCTAGCAAGAATCTCACATTGACATCCAGAACTCAATTGGAAAATGCAACAAGTTGCTTCCAAACAAACAGAGAATGCTAGAGAAACTCAGCAAGTCTGGCAGCATCTGTGGAGAGAGAAACAGAGTTAATGCTTCGATTCTGATATGACTTTTCTTGAGAATCTCTCCAGAATTTCAGATTTCCATCAGTATTATTCAAATTTCTCACAACGTTATGAAAGGCTTCTGTGGGCATCTCATGTGATATTCCCAGGTTTCACCCAATAGTTCATGTCATTTAAAGCTACATGAGATTCCACCCTTAGGCTTTGCACTGGGATGCAGATGAGCAATCATAATATAATGAGGTCTTGCTGTTAGAATGAACTACGGTTCACAATAATGATACACAGGCATGCTGTCTGGTCTGTCCCGTCCACCTGAATTCTGCTCCCAATTAAAATCAAAACACATTTTAATTTTTTCTTATGTATACATTTATTTTTGGTTTATAAATGTTTCCATTCAATGTTTCTAATTTATTGTTCTATGGTAAATTAGAGATCTTTACTCCCCTGTGCTGGCTTATAGTTCCATGGCACCATCTGCAGTCTTGTTGTTCACATATGAGGCCATTCCTCAGGAATGACCTTGAGCAATGAATAAGAGGAGGCACATTTGGTTGGAATCACAACTGAGTCTGTGCCTAACTATTGTGTATTGCACTATGTAATAACTCATCATAAAAATTCACAGCCACAGGTATCACTAAATTAACTTTGTTTACACCTCCCTGACAGAGAGGTCAACTTAAAAAAAAATGCACAAATCTTACAATATTTTATAATGAAGACCTAATTATCATATATGTCCATGCAGGGGTTACTGGATAACGATGAGCAACAGGGTATAGTTCAAAGCTTTCCTATTCCAATAAATTATAAAGATAATTTTGTACAATTGCATCTATAAGATCAGCTTATAGTTATACACCACCAATAATGTAATAAAATATTCCAAAACTCTACACAGAATCAGTAGAAAGTAAACTTTAATCCTAATCCACTTGACGAAATAACAGGGCAGATGATCAAAGTGTGACCAAAGAGCCAAGTTTAAATATCTGGAGGGTACAGCCGAAAGTTTGCAATGTTATATCTTTGGGGGTTTACTGAAAAATGAATGAGCTGAGAAATGACTGTTCCCAAACATGATGCATTTGTATAATATCTGTCTGTCCCATATTTTAGCAGAATCAGCAACTCATTTAAGATCAAAAGATTACCATATGTGGATTATGAAATGGATTGGAGCAATTCATTAAGGCAGCTCAACAATACCTTCTCAAGGGCAACTAGGGATGAGTAGTAAATGCTCATTCGGTGACTCCCACATTCCGTGCATGAATAAAAAATATTGCCTTAAAATAGCAACTGGAAGAATGTCAAACAAACATGTTCAGCCCAAACCATTAATCTCATCAGCTAGGCTTTTGTGTATTTGGGTGTGAAAAACATATTTTAACATTGACTTTTTTAACAAGTTCTACTGATCATGTAATTGTTCTAAATTGTTAGTATTTTGAACTAGTCAGACCAATAGAAAAGTATACAGTCAGTGAAAAAAATAAACAAATGTGATGCCACAAAGCCAAAGCAGCGAAATATTCCTGTGTCGTTTACCAGTTTTTCTTTGTATAGTTCCAGAGCTGAGTAAATGAGAATTGACAGCAAGGAGGACAGGACAAATGAGACTGCAGTTCTTTTACCTATGAGTTATTACAAAAACTTAAAATTAAACAGAAATACGTCATCAAAATTAATTTGAAGTACAAAATTATGACCATAAAGTAAACCACAGGTTTTAACATTTTGATAAAACAAGAATTAGTAGAATTAGAATTAGAATTAGCTTTATTGTCACATGTACTCAACTGATGACAGTGAAAACTTGACAAGTCACCACTGACAGAAGCATCTTAGGTACAAAGATACCTAGGTACAGATTCTTAAGTACAAATTCTTAGGGAAAGAAGTCAGAAGAATAAAGAAATAAAAAGTCCAACATTACAGATCATAGGAATAAATTAGAAAAATAAATAAATAATTCAGAATAACGGTCCTTCTAACCCAATTCACACAGGCACCAAGCCTCTAGTCTGCGCCCGGCCTTGACTCCAGACCGCGTTGGGCTTTCCCTTGAGGATCTTGAAACTAGGAGACCACTCTGGAATCATTTTGAGGCTAGAAGTCCATGCTGATGCCACGGCAGGCTGAACCACCACCACACTGGGCTGCCAAGAGACCGCCATGCTGGGCCACCAAGACGCTAATACGCTGTGCTGGGAGAACAGCACACTGGGCTGCGAGACAGCCACGCTGGGAGACACCACCATGGCAGGCCGGGAGACAGCCACGATGGGCTGGGAGACAGCCATGCCAGGCCCAGAGATCATTATGCTGAGCTGAGAGATCGCCATGTCGGGCCAAGAGATTGCCATACTAGGTCTGTACTGATGCCAAGAGTCCAAGTCTGTGCTGAGGCCGAGAGTTCAAGGCATCACTGGAAGAAAGAAGGATAAAAGAACACAAAGAGAAAAAAACAGAGAGAGAAAAGAAACGTCCAGAGTGGATGGCCTGCAACTGAGGATCCTTACTATGCCTCCATCTTGGAAGAAAGAACAGTATTACAATGTGGCTACAGCATCCATCTTCTGTTACAGTATTAAATCAAAATGTTAGTATCCAAATATTGCATTCTCCTGCTGATAATCTAATGCAAACATTAGAGTTTTGATGTTTTTAAACTTGTCGTATTGAAACTGTGATAAGACAAAGCGGGAACCATATGTAATGCACAAAGCTGTATGGAAATAGGACTCTTGAGTTCACTTTGTCTGAAATGTCCTAATGCACATTTAAAAATGGCTCATTTCTATCTAGAGTCAGTCATAACATAAACCAGATACAAACATTGTAACCAGCTTACTGGAGAAATGAATATTTTTATTACTCAAGCTATGTTGAAAGGGTTTTGAAATCCCCACAGGACAATAAAGTAGGCTTCCAGATTTCTTTTCAATCTTATCACTGGCAAACTATAGAGAATACATGTGCTGTTAAATTGTGCCACTTCCCATATGCTCCAGCTTTGTTCAGAGCGGCTGGGGCAACCTACATATTTCCATTTGGTTAAGGTATATCTGCACTGCCATAAAGAGGTGATTAATCAATTCAGATGCAAGGGAGATAATGAGCCTCTTGAGTTGAACACAGCAATCAGTGCACTAGGTACAAAGATATCGTTTCTTTAATGATGTGAATCACAGAAATGAACACAGCCCAGCAAATTTTATCACATCAGGAGTAAAATAAAACAATGGGTGGTATTTCCCCTTGTTTAAAGTATCAGGGAGATTGTGTTAATCAGTGACTAACTCACCATCCCCACTGCTGAGAAAACTCACTGTATCCCTTGCCAATCTGTCCAATATGCACTAAAGGTCGAGCTTCACTGAGTTTCTTCATGAATCATGGGTCTTGACACTAGCATCCCAGGCCATCAGCAGCTCCCAGCCTATCAGAGCCCTGCAGATTCTGGGTCCTAACGTCTGCTAGTCGAGGCCTATTCCTCAGGGTATTCAGTGTTGAGAAAGTAATTACTTTCTTTATTCTTCTTAAATGGTGGGAGTCATGGGTGGCATGTGGTCAGGGGTCAGAAGCAAGGGTAGAGGTGTGGCTTTTTGACACCAACCCTTTGCCCCCTCAATTCCCATGTCTACAATTCCCCCAGCCTGGTGAAATTGGAGGCCTTTTCTCTAATTTGCAGAGAGATTGCCTTGGTTTCCCAGTTACTGGGAAGGCAGGTGATTGGGGAGATGGAGAGCAGAGGCCCTTAAGTGGTCAGTAATTGGACCACTTAAGAGTCCAAACTGGAATGGTTTGAGAAGGTTTCATGGGACCTATTTACCCATAACTTAGTTGGTGAGGTGATATGAAGTGGGTGATGTTCTCTCCAAGATCAACCAGCCCAACTATTTTCCCATCTCATCACCTATCGCTCTACCTTCAGGAAGGGGAAAAGGGCAGTCGTGGTTCCCACAACTATCCTTTTAATCGAAAGAAAGGATTAGAAGGGAAAAAATAATATACAAACTTGTACTTTAAATAAAAACAGAAATGCTGGAAACTCAGAATCATTGAACAGTTACAGAACAGAAGAACACCATTCAGCCATTGTGTCTGCAATGATTCTCTGAACTAACATTTAAGTTCATGCCATTTCCCTGTCTTTTCCCTATAACCCTGCACAGTGTTCCCCTTCTAATAATAGTCTAAGTCCCTTTTGAGTGCTTTGATTGAACTTGTCTCTACCATACACTCAGGGAGTGCATTCCAGACCTACTTAACCACGTTTTCTTTCTCTTTTTTCATTAATGGGATGAGGATGTCTTTGGCCAGGCAGCATCTATTGTCCATCCCTAATTGCTCAGAGGGCAGTTCAGAGTCAACCACATTGCTGTGGGTCTGGAGTCACATGTAGGCCAGACTGGGTGAGGTTAGCAGTTTCCTTCCCTAAAGGAGATTGGTGAACCAGGTGGGTTTTTCTGACAATAGATAATGGATTCATCGTCATCATTAGATTCTTAATTCCAGATATATTATATTGAATTCAAATTTCACCATCTGCCTTGGCAGAATTCGAACCCAGGTCCCCAGAATGTCATCTGGGTCTCTGGATTAACAGTCCAGTGATAATACCACTATGTCATTGCCTCACCCTGCCTCCCACACACTTGCTGTGTGAAAAAGCTTTTCCTTGCATCTCTATTTCTTCTTTGCCAATTACTTTAAATATGTGCCCTCTGCTTTTCTGATAGAATACCTATCAGATCCCCTCTCAATCTTCTCTATTCTGAGGAAAATAGCCACAACTTCTCTAATACATCCTAATAACTGAATTTCCTCATCTGAGAAATCATTTGCATGACTTTTTCTACACCTTCTCTACTGCCTTCATATCATTCCTAAGTATAGCTTTCAACACTCCAACTAAGGCCAAATTATATATAAGGTCAACATATTCACTTTGCTCTTATATTCTTATATCAATAAAGGATAGGATGTTTTACATTTCATTAACCACTCTGTCAATTGGTCCTGTCACCTTTAATGAACATGTGCAGATATATACCCACGTCCCTCTGTTCCTAAAACCCTTTAGACCTGTGTCCTTAATTTCATATTATCTCTTCACGTTGCTCTTATGTGGCACTTTTCTGAATTAAATTTCATCTGTCGCCTGGCTATACACTTCATCAATTGGTCTATAACCTTTTCAAATTCTCCTCACAGTTCACAACCTTTCAAGTTATGTATCATCCTCAAATTTTGAAATTTTGCTTTGTCCACCAAGACCTAGGTATCTTTATTCTTTACATGAATCACCTGAATATCAATTTGCGCTAACTTCCCATTCTGCTTATTTTTCATAGCTGGCTGGTAAGTGACCTTTCCAGTTATTCGATCATGAGAGGGTGTAAAAAAAGGAAGTGGCTTTGGCAGGATTGTCAGATGAGTGAACTGGTGAAAACTGACTGAACCACATAATAATTGTGTCATCCTGGGCTTCTTGGGCAGCAAACTGTACAGCTCATGGTCCAACACCCCTCTTTACTTTTCTTCTGCCTCCTCCTCATCTTTACCCCTCTCTTCCTCAGAATCTTCCAAAGTGACTCTGTAGTCTGCACCTTGGTCTTAACACACTGTCCAATATTACTGGACAGTATTGGTCAGAATGCAGCAATGTCAGAGCTGATCTGGAAACCCTGCACTGAAAGACACTTCCAAATCTGTCTGAAACCTAGCTATGTATGTTCAGCATGTCAGTAGTTTTCTGCTGACACATCAAAATGGTCCTAAGAGATTCATGTAGGGTCCTGGCCCTTATTCAATACATTTGTGAGGGACGTCATCAGTCAGGTTTAAAAGAATAGTCTTGTCATTGAGCAATCAGCTGTTAACTGCCTCTATGTGTATGAAACCTGTACATGTAAGAAGAAAGAGAATGGCAAAAATAAACATTGGTTCATTAAAGACAGAGACAAGAGAAATTGTAATGGGGAATAAGGGAATGCTATAGACATCAAATAAATGCTTTCTAATTGCATTTATTGTAGAAGGTCAGATATCACATGACTACAGGTTGTAATCCAACTGGTTCATTGGAAAACGCAAGCTTTTGGAATGTAATCCCTTCATCAGGTGAAGTGAGAAAGAAGCGCACAGAACACAGAATTTATAAGTAAAAGGTCAAAGAGTCACACAACTGATGAGGATAGATTAAACAAACCTAAGATGCTGTTAAATCTTTAATCAAATAGAAAGTTTTAATTGATTAATATGTATATGTAAATCCTCGAATTTCTTTCAAGTCACTGCCTTGAGAGAACTGAAGGTTTTATTAGTGTAAAGACATTTTAAGTCAGACAATACATGTTAGATGTGAGGTCTTGTTGAGAACCTCCTTGTGTTTTGGTTTGGAGTCAGACTATTTTTTTTCTGAAGTAGGAAATTATAAAATGCCATAAAAACAGAAAGAACTGCGAATGGTGCAAATCAGGAACAAAAACAAAGTTGCTGGAAAAGCTTAGCAGGTCTGGTCGCATCTGTCAAGGGAAAAACAGAGTTAATGTTTCGAGTCCAATGACCTTTCCTCAGAACTTTGTTTTTGTAATTATAAAACATCACATTGGCTGACTATTTATAAGTTCACCGCATAGTGTGTACGTGCATGTGTGTGTGTGTGTGTGCGTGCGTGTGTGTATGTATGTGTGTGAGTGAGAGAGAGAGAGAGAGAGAGTGTGTAGTGTGGTAGGGTCACCTGTAGTGAACACAAGACCCTGGTTGAGACTGACCTCGTGGGGGACCAAACTTGGCTATCAGCCTTTGCTTGGTGACTCTGTGTTGTTGTGTGTCCCGAAGTCTGCCTTAGAGGACATTTATCTGAAGATCCGGGCCGAATATCCTCCCACTCGGAGGGAACATTTGGCGATTGTTGCACAGTGTCCATTCATCCGTTGTTGTAGTGTCTGCATTGTTTGGCCAATATACCATGCCTTGAGGCATCCTTGTCTGCAGCATATGAGATAGAAAACCGTGGCTGGGTGACATGAGTATCTGCCGTGCATGTGGTGGGTGGTGTTCCCAGGTGTGATGGTAGTGTCCATGTCAAAGATCTGACATGTCTTGCAGAGATTGCCAAGACACGGTTGTATTGTGTTGCAATCGATGTTGTCCTGAAGGCTGGGTAGTTTGCTGCGATCAATGGTCTGTTTAAGGTTTGATGATTGTTTGAATGTGAGAATTGGAGGCATGGGAAGATCTTGGTGAGGTACTCATCATCATCAATAATGTGGTGAAGGCTGCGAAGAACATGGTGTAGTTTCTCCGCTGCCAGGAAGTACTGGATGATGGAGGG